ATATATAAATTATAAAACTAATCAAACCCACAAAAAAAACATACTTTTCGACACTTACAACTTTTTGTAATCCTCACTTCGAAATTGGCGCGATGTGCAAATTTTACATGGTACATTTTCAATAAGTTCACCTTCTTAGACAAATTTAGTTTTGATAACATCCTATATAAAAAAAATGTGTACCTTGGGTCGATTGGCAACATTATGAAAGTAGGACATTGGCGCTCGTTTGCTATGATAGGCTCCACTTCTACACGAACAAGATCAATTCGGACGGCCAAATCCGGCACAGGTTTGACAAGGTGAACAGATGATCAGTGAATTTACCATGACTCTTAGCCTAGATCGGGTGGTTTGAAGCATGGATAAAATTCCCATATAAATACACATCATATGCCAGGTTATAGGAAACCCTGGTTATTCTTTCTGGGTTTTCCGCTTTATTTCTGATTGTCTGTGCTTTTTTTTTTTTGCAGGCGGTTGAAGCACAGATGAAGGTTACGTGTCGTTGTCATGGTGTATCAGGATCATGTGCAATGCGAACTTGTTGGAATAGTATGCCAGATTTTGAAAAAGTTGGAAAATATTTGAAGAAGCTTCACAAACACGCCGTAGAGATTTTACCACGCGGCAAGAAACGAATGCGGCGGAAAGACCCAGAGAAACGCAAAGTACCGATCAAGCCTGACGAAATGGTTCATATTGATGAATCACCAAACTATTGCTCAAGCGACCCTCAAAAAGGAATAAAAGGCACCACTGGGCGGGAATGCAACAAGACGTCTAATGGAGCAGACGGCTGTGATCTCTTGTGCTGTGGGAGGGGTTATAACACACAAGAAGTTCGGATTGTCGAGAGATGCGAATGTGTTTTTATTTGGTGTTGTGAAGTTAAATGCAAATCCTGTGAGACTGTCAAAGACGTTCACACTTGTAAATAATTGTATAAAAGTTGTAAATTTGATGACTCCTCGCAACAGTAAAAACAGGGAATATGTATTTGTATATGATTATAATAATTATTTGTAGTTTATTTAATGAGAAGGTAAGCGGGAAATGTAACATATCTATCAATGGATTTAGTTTAAAAATCGTGGAAGGGGGTTCAGAATATATGCCTACAGTGAGTTGACGTCATAATTACGGTACTGTTACAATACCGTGACTTCTAACGGGCATCAATGAGTACGTACTCATAGATGGTATTTGACTATGTACTGGATTACAACCACACAGATTTATTGCACAGGTACAAAATGTGTTCAGTTCAGAAATGGGCTGATTATTCTGCATTATATTGTACATATTGTACAATGCGTATAATATAGAGCATTATACGTACAATACAATCTAAATTATATAAATATAGGCCTATATATAAAATCATAAGTTTTCCATGTGTTCGAACATTTACTTCTTTACTTCATATTAGCAGAGCAGTATCAAACTGTCC